TCAGGATGCATCCTTGCAGCAATTTCACATTGCATCTGTTTCTTCTGCTGTGCTGACAGAGAATCACAGAACCATCAAAAATGATTGGGCTGGAAGGGTCCTTAAAGATCATCCAGTTCTAACCCTCCACAATTTCCACAAGACAAGGTTGCTTAAAGCCTCATCCAACCTGTCCTGGAGCACTTCCATGGATGGGGCATCTGAATTCTAGTTTCACAGCTTTCTAACCTCTGTCTCTAACTGCTTCTAAGTAAAAATCAAGGTAACAGTACTTGCCAATAATTCTTGATATTTAAAAATAAATCGCTGCTTTAAAGAACTGGTGAGATACTTTCTTAGGCTGCCTGATCAGAAAACAAAATTATGTGTCTAATTCAGTATTGTAGCAATCTGAATTGCTGCTAGCATAGTCCAGGGTAAGGAAGCAAAAGGGACTTTTGCATAATATCCACAGATGGTTTATTCAGGCACATGGTGAGACATTCAGGTCCCAGCACCCACACACAGAGGGTCTTGCTTTCTCTCCAGAAGGGCCTGGGGGCTGACCCTGGTCTCTGGGTGGTACAAAGATGAGGGCCAATCAGGGAATAAGGAAGGAATGGCTCAGGAACACAGGAACAGACATAGGAGCAGGGGAAGGGGTAATGGGGTCTAACAGCTTTTTGAGGGAATCTGCTTGTGTCTCCCTAAACCAGGGAATGCCCCCCCAGGGTCTTCACAATTCCTGGTTTTTTATATTATTAAGAAAGCTTCTCTGAAGGATCAACTGAATCAACACAAAATTACAAACACAATCAAAAGCACTCATAAGACATTTTTTTAAAAATGCAAACAATTCTGAGTTTCTAATGTCTCAATAGATTTCTTGGAGTGTCTTAGAGCTGGCAGGAGGAATGCAGGTTTTCTTAGCACGGTTTATTAGGAAACTGAGTTAGGAGAAGTTTTTTCAGCAGGGATTGGTTCTCTGCCACTTGAGGCAGTGTTGCTGGCTGTTAATTTGTTCTGTACAAGGTAGTGTAGGTGGTGGTGTGTCTGCTGGAAGCTCCAAACAGAAATCATTAACTTTAAGAGAAAGATGGTTACTTTAGGGAAACTTTCTTTTCTTTCCCTCCCAATCACCCTCCCTCTGGTATGATGAAAGAAATCTGGGGGAAGAGATTAGTAGTGGGAGGCCATGGAAAGGGGGAAAAGGAGGTAGGAATTTGTGGGAACATAAAAAAGGAGTAATAGGACAATGGAAAGGCAAAGGGGAAAGTGGGAGGAGGGCAGGGAGGCCACAGGAATTGGGGAAGAGTATTAGAAGAAGTGGGACTTATCGGACTGGAAGGTTCTTTTGTTATGGAGGTGAACTCTTGGATGGAGGATGGCTCATCAGTGTTCTATCCTCTTTCAGATTTTAGGCTGTTGCTGGGGCCTGGTTGTTGGTTTGGGGTTTTATTTCTTTGGTAGGAGTGTGGACGACTTCTGTGATATGGGTAATACTTCGCAGGTTTGCAGTTTGGTGCATGTTCACTACCTTGCACTGGAACTCTACTAGGTCCTGTCACATCGGCTGCTTGGGGGCCTTTTCTTCCTTGTATTATATTAAATTCCACAATTTTTCCATCTCCTAGACTGTGGAGGTATTCCTTGGGGTTATTCTTTTTTATAGCAGTCTGATGAACGAACACATCTTCTTTGTTATTATTCTGGGTATGAAGCCGTATTTGTTTTTTACATTGAATTGTTTCACTGTCCCCAAGATGTTCACGGCAAGGACTTTTTTACCTTTGCCAGTGGGTTTGTGTTTGTGTTGCTGGATGTGTTGCTGGTGTTGAGGTTGGTGCACTGCCATGTGGGGTTCGTCCTGCGCTTGGTGCTGGTGGCCGCGCTGGGGCCTGGCTTTTTCCTGGGGCTCTCTCTTGGCTGATGTCCACGGGCGTTGTCGGCGTGGGGCTTCCAGAGCAGCAGGAGTGGCACAGGCTCCCCAGGCAGGTGGGGAGTGGCGGTTTTGCTGCCAGGACTGTGGTTCTGAGCCATCCCCCATTAGGGCTGCCCGCGCCCCCGGTCTCACCAGCCCACCCTCGGCCCCGGTGCTGTGGGCTGCCATGACCCAGGCTGGGCAGCGAGTATCGGCTGGCTCACCCTGGCCAAGCATGGTGGCAGCGGGATGGCCGTGGTTTTTCCACAGGGGCAGCTGTTTGGTGGGAGCAGGGACAGCCCTTGCCACACACACTGTGTCTCATGGTGCTATAGCAACCAAGGTAAACTCGTCTGTTCTTCTGTTTACTGTCCCTTCCAGCACTGCAAGTGCGCATGGGGTTTCTTTCCCCTTCGTAGTAAGAGACTGGTGCAGCTTTATATTGCCAATCAGAGCCTGCTCCTCTGACCCCCCCTCACTCCTGGGACTGTGGAAGCTGTGAGAGGAGGTGTGGGGACTAGAGGACGGAAGAGGGGACCCTGTGGCCTCCACCATGTTGAGCATGTGAACGTGAGCATGCGGCCATGGCCATCCAGTGACAGCAAACTTGGGCAGCAGGAGTGCAGATGGGAGAGCTTGGAGAAGGGGTTTTCAGCTGAGGTTCACTATTTTTTAACTGTTTCTTCAAGATTTTGAATGCATATCATAATCATATTCAAAAAAGGATAGAATTCTTTATAGAGTTTTTCTTCAGGTCTTAATTTTTCTCAAACTAGTTCTATGAAGTCATTGGTTAGGACTACATTCCACACAATATAAGGAAAATGCTTAAATAACCAGTGTACTAAACACTTTAACTCTTCCTCTGAAAAACTAAAGTGTTTTTGAAGAAAAGACTTTTTAAGGTGGAGGTGAACTTTTTGTTTTGCGTGGGTGAGTGTTGTTTCCACCTTAATCTAGTCTCTTCTCAACACCTGAGAGTAAAAGGAGGAAGGAACTAAAATTTCAAACTCATCGCACTGGGGTAAGACAGCAAAATTTTCAGGGTGGTTTAGTGCAGATGTTTTCTAGAAGAGGTCCCTGTTCGGGCGCCATTTGTGGCAATCTGAATTGCTGCTAGTATAGTCCAGGGTAAGGAAGAAAAAAGGGCCTTTGCATAATATCCACAGATGTTTTATTCAGGCACATGGTGAGACATTCAGGTCCCAGCACCCACACACAGAGGGTCTTGCTTTCTCTCCAGAAGGGCCTGGGGGCTGACCCTGGTCTCTGGGTGGTACAAAGATGAGGGCCAATCAGGGAATAAAAGGAATGGCTCAAGAACACAGGAACAGACATAGGAATAAAGGAAGGAGCCAATAGAGTCTAACAGCTTTTTGAGGGAAGCTTCTTGTGTCTCCCTAAACCAGGGAATGCCTCCCCAACATCTCCACGCAGTATAGAAGAAATGGTGTTCAAAGTGAAACCAAATCCTACCTTCATATATACAGTGATGGACTCTGAGCTTGCTGAGGTTATCTTTCAAGGACTGAAGGGCTTTTTATTATAATGCATATCTTGTTAAAATATCAATTCATGGATAATAGAAAAAGTTCTAGAAATTATTTCAAGGGAAGAGAAGACAAATGCCAGTAGCAAACTATAATTCAGTTGCATCTTCAATGCACTGGAAATCTGGTATACTTCCTATTTCCTCTCATGTGAAAAATGGTACCTGAATCCTAGAGAACAGTTCATGTTGGCCACAGGTGGCCACATGGATAAAGAAAGTATGCAAAGGTGTATATCAGATGAGGAATGACTATATTAGGGTTTCCTCAGCCTGGGACAGAGAGGGCTATGATGAAAGTGTACAAGACCATGAGTTGATGGAGATGCCAAGGATCCATTATTTTTTCTCTTTCCCTTCCAGATCCCAGAGACATCAAATGTCATTCATTAGAATGAAGGTTAAGCACACTTGCTGTACAGTATTTTGGATGTCAGAAAGTCTGCATGCGTTAAAAAAAAAGGCATTAGATACAAAGAAAATCCCTGAAACCACACAGGGTGTGAGGGCATTGTCAAACTTCTTTTCCCTGCCTCTGTGCTCCCCACTCAGCTATTGGCTGTAGCTGAGATGTGGCCAGACTAACTTTCAGTCTGATTAATTCTTCCTGGTTTTACATCCTTTTTTGATTGCTATGTCATTGTATTACAAGGGCCTCTCCAGGCCAAGGCAAGCATTTCATTTAGCAGCACATTCTCTGCAGCAGCAGCAGCTCAAGCACTGAGCACGATATATCTGCTGTGAGCCCAGCAGCCGCCTGAACCAGTGCTGCCTGCTCTAGGGCCTCTGTGTCATCCTCTCAGCTGCCCAAAGAGCTGAAATGGCAACTGTGGATTTTCAAATTCCTGACCTCCAAAACACCCTTCTTTTTAAATTGGAGCTTATGAGGCCTTGTCCAGCAAGACCCAAAGTCTCAGCAGTTTAAAGATTAAAAAGCAACAACATCCAGCTGCCCTTCCCCTTGGCAAAGACAAACAAATCCATGGTTTAATGTACTTTAAAGTAAAAAAAAAAAAAAAGAGCAAGAGTTATATAATTTACAACATAACTGCTTAAAAAAATTGATAGATTGATTATCTTAAAAAATTGACATGATTATAGTTGAATTTTCTTCCATAAGAGAATAAGCCATATTGTACAGCTAAAAATAAGGCAGGATAAAAATTTGTATATGGTTCTGGGTGGTTTTTTTCACATTTTATTCACACTTTGAATCTGGTTCTTCACTGACAAGATGATGAGGTTTAAGCCATTGCTAGTTACAATGTATGTGTGGACAAACACAAACTATTTTTATAGGAACAAATGTATAAGAAATTATTTTGCTGTTGATGCTGGAGTGGTTTTCCAGTGTGGTCTGTGCTTGACTGTGAACTGACTATTATTTCCTCTATGAAGGGCTGCTTCTGTGCCTCACTGCATCACCACAACCAATAGAAACTGAAAGCCCTAAAAGCCTCTCTAGGCTGTGGGAGCTGCAGGAGACTTGTCTCTCTTTTTTCCTTTTCTGACGGAGATTTTGCTCTTCTCAAAGTAACGAGAGGCAGAAAAATGGATACATTACAGAAGGCAGTGGATTTCTGCATCCGCCACCAGACCACTCTGAGTTTCAGCATCGTGTCCCTGCTGACGGCTGCCAGCGAGCGCGTCTTCTCATATGTAGTGTTCAAGTGTCCCTGCAACTCTGAGAACCTGGTGTATGGCTATTCCTTCCTCTTAGCACCTGCCTTTGTCCTCTTGCTGCTCGGCTACATGATGAACGCCAGGACATGGCGCCTCTTTACAGGCATGTGCTCTCCAGAGAAGCATCCCCAATACTGTTCCTGGCGAACCTGGGCCCACTTCTGCCAGCTGTTTGTGCCAATGACAGCCAAGGCCTCGGTGGCCCCGCTCACCTGGATAGCGGTGGCCCTGCTCGGAGCCAACTTCTACGAGTGTGCGGCCAGTGGGAGCAACATGACAGCACAACTCTTCTGTAAAAATAAAGGAAATTACAGCCAAGAGCAGCTGTACAAAATGCCCTGTGATGAGGAGTTAGCAGCAGCGATGTCAAGTGTATGCCTCAGCTTTCATGCACAGTCCCAGGTAAAGCCTCACTGCTCTTCTCCTCACACTATTGGGAGGCTTCAACCCTGGCTGCTCAATGCATAGACGTGCCTGCTGGGAACTGTAAAGAGTCCTTCTCCCTCATGTTATATAATATAAGGTACCAAAAGTACACAGCTAGGCAATATAGGAAATTTGGCAAAAAAGCCAAAAGAAATGGGTATATTTTTAAAGTACTTTCTGGTTTTGTATGTTTGCATGGTAATGGTTTGGTAGTGTCATTTACAAAACCTCATGGACAGGAAACCAGCCTAGAGAATGGGACTTTGCACAGCAAGTTTTCTTCTCAATTAACTTAGACATGGTTTGAGTTCTTCTCTTTCTCTACTTTTATGTCTTTGAATACCTCAAACTTCTGCAGATAGGCATTAGTTGAGGGGAAGCTGAGATCATTAACACAGGGGGGAAGCTGATGTCCCCTTGCAAGAGAATGGTAGCAAGGAGACATCTGGAAAGAGAAACAAATAAGAACAGCTTGTTTGACTATAAATCTCAATGCTTGAACCTCTTAATAATTTCACACTTGTATTCTAGAAGAATAGTTAAAATATATATCTATCTTGTTAAAGTTTCTTGTGCTGAAAGCAAATTGCATGATCAAAACAGTAATACTTGTAGATTGTTTTTTGTTTGGTTTGTTGGCAGCACTGCAGTTTTGTTTCTACATTTGTGTGGATTTTGTCTTAACTCCAGTAGGAAAACCATGTTTTGCAACTTTTTCTCAGGAAATCATTAAGAGTTGGTTAAGGGAGTTAAGTTTATAAGAGTTAATAATAAGTTCCTGTTTAGTACAAATGCCTATTAAAACAAAAATGTGTTTTTATTTGTTAAATACTTAGCATACTGCTTCTCCAAAAAAAGGGGGCAAACTCTATACCATTGATTTTAGATAGGATAAGAAAGGAGAAAAAACAAGGAAGCCTGACTGTTACTGGCATTGCAGTAGAAACTAAAAGAAACATCCAGTCAAACAAAAATAGGAAAAGTGTGAGTGTATTTTTATTACTGACCACTATTTTTAATATCCAATCTACTTTCAACAAAATTAAGAACCAAAAAGAGCAAAAACGCCTTTTCATTTAGCACTCAATACTTTTTCATTTGAAGAAAAAGTCATCCTGGGGTAAAAGAGCATGTTGCAGGATCTCTGCCTAGAGCTTCTAGCTAAGTACCCCTGAGTAGAGGAGACACCAGCAATTACTAGGACACTTGGTTTTGATAGGACCTCTGAGACTTGTCTAAGGGTGTTAGAATCAGCTATAAAACAAGCATGAATTCCCATATTCAATAGTCAAATCTGTGTCCTGCCTACAACACATACAGGACACAACCTTTCCTCTGCCTTGTGCAAAAACAAGCTGTTTTTGCAGGCTTAGACATCAGGGAGAGTAATTACATTCTGTGAGAACATAGCCAGCAGGAGCTCTTATTTGCAGCACAAAGCACACAGAGAGATTCGGCACCCTTTGTACCATAAATGTGACCACAACTGCAGAAACTGATAGTCAGTATCTTGCCTTAAAAGTTAAGAAAGCTGGATATAACTGAGTAAATCACTTCTGTCCATCTTCTCTTTTTTCAGTATTCATCCTTAATCTGACAAGATCAGCTGAGGGGTGTAGAGGGTCTGTATGTCTGTCTGAATTGCATGCATGGGATCCCCTACTTTGGCAGCAAGCAGACAATTACATGCACTCCAGGATTCTTTGCTTACAGTTTTCTTATTTTTTCAGTGTTATGTTCTGTACTCCCACATATGGCCATGCAAAACCACCAATAACCTATATATCCTTTTTTCAAGCTGATAGGATGGTTCCTGATAGTCACCATCATGGCTCTGGCACTGATTTCAACATGTGTCACCCACTGCTTCTCCCCTGTCAGCTACCTTCAGTTCAAATTCTGGAAAATTTATTCAAGAAAAGAACATAAACTCTTTGAGACCAAAGCCAAAGAGCATGCAAACAAGCTAGCAGAAAGAAATACAAATTGCTTTTTTGAAGCCACTGACCCAGCACCATTTCCTACTCCCAGCAACGAAGACTGGCAGAAGGTTTCAGTCTCGTACACCTTTAATTCACAATCGCAGTATTACAGTGTGTTACACAAGTATGTGAACACCAACAGAGGCAACGACGCTGAATTCCAGGAAGAAGGTCAGGATCTCAATGTTATTGAATTTGTGGATGAAGCCCAGCCAAGCGTTTCAGGGTTGTAATGAGACAAATCCTTTGCCATGCTAGCAGTCTTTTAGCCTACTGATATAAGAAGAGTCTTATTCTCTGGTCTTACTGAAATCTATGCAAGCTGAAAGTGAAAGCTAATAGTTGTAATCCTCAGTAGATTTACTTTTTGCTTAAGTACATTTAAAAGGCAGTTTTCTTATGTTGCTGTCCATTGAGAAGAGTTGTATGTAAAATAATCAGCATCCACAAAGGTATCAGCACATGTTATGTCAAATTATTACCGATACCTTAAAAACACTTGAGAGGTGGAGTGACAATACCAAACCTTATCAAAGAGACAAAGACAGGAATGGAAGATTTGATCAGAAATTCAGCTTAGTTTTTTAGCTCTTTCTTTAAAATGAAGCTTTCAGTGAAGCTTAGATCAAGCTGTAGATTAAAAAACTAAGCTTGTCTTGAGGGGTTAGGCTCATGCATAACATGGTGATGTAGGTGAAGCTTTTATATTAGCAAGCATTAAAAGTGCATTCATAGGCTCAATGACATTAAAAATCTGCAATCCATATTAGCAAGTAGTAATATTCTTATCAAACAGCTTCTTAGTACAATAAATAAAGATACAAGTTTTGAGTGAAGAATAATGAAGTTCATTTTTGTCCTGAAAAGCTGTTGTTTAATAAGAGAGCATTTTATGCGGCAGCAGCTCTCTGGCCACAGAGAGCAACACATAATTTTCCCAGGCATTGTCCTGGGCAAGGCTGTGATAATATCAAAGAAAAGAATGATAAACAATTCTTATCTTCACTTGCTGCACCTGTTGCTGTAAACATGTGGAATGTGTTATGCAGATTTGTTTACCAAAGAGTTTCCTTAATTAGCCAATGGTGTTTTAATTAAAGGACCAATTAGGTCAAACTGTATTGGAATGTCTGTAAGGGTAATGAGTTTCTTAATTAGTATAGTATAATAAAGCAATTGATCAGCCTTCTGGAATCATGGAGTCAATGCTAATTATTACCCAGCCAGGGATGCCATGCTATGACAGTTCTAGATATGTGAGTCAGATTGTTTGGTCCAGGCTGTCCATTTACTTCTCCCAGAAATTCTCTCTTTCTACACAATAAATTCAAAAATCATTCAGACAGGCAGGCAGGAAACCCAAGAATTTGTTTGTTACATTCATTTTGCAAGGAAGGAAGAAGGGGAGAGCCTATTTTAACCAGCTGAATATAATGAGTTAGAAGATTCTTTCTCACTATAAACTAAAAATATAACACATGAAGGCAAAACCAGATTTAATTTTCATGTAGAAAAGAATTTTTTAAACATATTCCTCACAGTCACATATTTACTCAATGCTCTTTTCCTTCTGAGAAACTTGATGATTATGGAGTGACAGTGCAGGGGCTGACCTCTTAGAGAGCATCTCTGTAGAGAAGAGCCTGGTGTCTGGGTGGATGGCAAGCTGACTAAGAGCCAGCAGTGTTCTGGTAGCCAGGAGGGCCACCGGTGTCCTGTGGTGCATTGGGAAGAGTGTGGCCAGGTCAAGGGAGGTGCTCCTCCCCCTCTACTCAGCCCTGGTGAGGTCACATCTGAAGTTGTGGGCTCCTCAGTACAAGAAAGACAAGGAGCTACTGGAGAGGGCCCAGCAGAAGGGCCACAAAGGTGATTTGGGTCTGGAGCATCTCTCTTATGAGGGGAGACTGCAGGAGCTGGGCCTGTTTAGTCCGGAGAAGAGAGGATTGAGAGAGGATCTCGTTAACACCTCTCAAAGGTGAGTGGAAAGAGGAGGATGCCAGGCTCTTTGCAGTGGTGCCCAGTGACAGGAGCAGGAGCAATAGCTACAATCTAAAGCACAAGAAGTTTCACCTCAACATGGGAAGAACTTTACACTGAGGGTGGCAGAGCACTGGCACAGGCTGCCCAGGGAGGTCGTGAAGTCTCCCTCTCTGAAGACAATCCAGACTCACCTAGATGTGTTCCTGTCGGGACCCAGGACATTTCTCTGGCTGCTCTGGGTGATTTGAGACCCTGGCAGAGGGCTCAGAGACCTTGGCACAGAGCCAAAAACACCAGTGGCTTCAATTTTAGTCCATGGAAAAAATTACCAACTTTGTGTGAAGATTTACAAGCCACAAGAGTTTGAGTAGAATGATAGTTAATTTGTCACAGGGTAAAAAAGTAGAATTTTGGGGATTTAGAATGGGGGTTCAAGAGGCAAGATGAAGGAATCTGGGCATGTCCTGTCTTTCTTCTCCTTCTTCTTGTCCTCCCTCTTCTGCTGTGATGATGACACTTTTAGATTGGTTTAGAGTAGAGACAGACTGTCTAACATAGGTGATAGGTATTTGAAAATTATTGTAAATAAAGTACATGTAGTTCTCAGTAAAAAAAGTTAACACCACCCCAAGGGCAGTCACTGTGCACAGCCCGACCTGCTGGATAGATCTCACAGGTCAAAGAAAGAATATAATAGATAAGAAAAATAAACAACCTTGAAAAGCAGAACCGATGAATCTCAATTTCTTCTTTAGTTGCAGGGCTGGGGAAAAAAAAGACTTTCTAATACCTTGGGGGTCATCTCAACCACAGAAAACCGAGATGTTCCTGTGTCACCTGGTCTAGGTGACCCTGCCCTGTCAGTGGGGTCGGACTAGATGACCCTCAGGGGTCCTTTCCAACCCTAACAGTTCCGTAATTCTCTAAGAAAACAAGGACAGTATAGGTTATTCACTTTCAAGATAATAATAATTTTTAAAAAGAGAATATTTGGTTAGTGTTGTTGGAAAAAGTAAAAATGTCATTGTCATTGCCATTGTCAATAAACAGCCTTCATTGTGGTCAGGCACCTGTACATCTCAACCAGCAAAAACCCCACTGTGGGCTCTTGTACAGGCAGTGAAATCAGACAAACTCCACAACACATTTCAGCTCTAATTAAAAAAAACAGTAATAATAATTAAAAAAAAAAAAAAAGAGGCAGGGAAACTTGTGACTGGTTATAACATTTTGTTACATGTACCTGTTGCCACTTCTTACTGGAAGCAGGTAACAGCAGCTGGGCTGAGACCAAGGCTGCAGTAACAAATAATTTAGTTTTTGTTCCCTTCAAAATTGCTCACTTAAAGTGCCATTCTACTATGCCACCACTTTACCACACCATTAAAACAAACAAGGGAGAGAGATTATCATGAGGACTGTACAGGTCTGGTGAGAATGAACCCAAGGTAAGAGATGCCCTCATTTAGCATGATGAAGACGTAAACAGACTGAGGGAAAAATAGGAGAAGAAGGTACAAAACACAGTGATAAAATCAGAGTGAACTTGGGGCTACACTGACCTTAGTTGTTGGTATTTTGGTTTAAAAGAAGTGTTTTGATGAGAAGAGGGTAAGGTGGCTTTGTGGGTAGGGTGCTGTGCTAGGACCTGGGGTTTTGTCCAAACCTTATCCAGACATCTTCATTACACCAAACAACTTTAAACCTTTCCTATAACTTGGGTTTCTCTGAGGCTGCTCCTTCTCTACTTCCCAGTCATGTTGTGGTAACAAGTCCACTACCAAGAGGAAGATGTTCAACAGCTGGTGGTGAAAGCCAGGTAAGAACAGAAAACACGACCACCAAACCAGTTGTGTGGCGATCTCAGAATTTTATTTCAAGTTTCCTTAGACAGGTACAGGTCCACAATAGCTACACATTAAATACATCATGCTTTGTTCATTTTGGTCACAAGATCAGTGCTCTTGGAGAGAAGGCCGATGTGGAAATGCCCATAGCTTGGTGAGACAAGCACCGCTGCAGTTGTCAGAGTGCTGCAGCCTGGAGTGTGCACAGGACTGAGCAGAAGTGCCAGCAAAACTGCATGTGGGACCTGAAGAGCTGGAAAGAACACCACCAGAGGCAATGAAGACCCATACCTCCCTGATTTCAAAGACAGCAGGATGTCCAGTGTGGAGGACAATGAATGGCAAAGTATCACACATCAAAACATGCACCTGTGAGTGAGACACTGCATACAGCAATGGCAGCAGAGGAATCCTTTGTGGATAACCACACACAGCCAGGGAAAGAAAGCACCTCTAGCAGACATGCTCTGAAATATTACTGACAAAATGGGAAAAGGTTATCAGCTTTACCTGAAAACAATTGGTATACGGACAAATATTTAGCACACACTAAATACTGAGATAAAACTTCCATCAAGCTCAAGAGCCTGGGTATGTGAGAGGGAAGGGCAGATAATTTCATTCCTTTTTACTGATATCTGTGCCACAACAATTAACATTGCTCTCTCCTGCCCTGCCTCTCCTATTTGCTGCCCTGCTTTCTTCACCTTTCAAGCAGCTGACTGGTGCAGCTGACTCAGCAAAGCCACTTTTACCCTGTCTTCTTCTAAACCAAAAGACACAAAATATCCCCAGGCAAGGGTTTCTCCCAATATTTCTTTCATTTGTTCCTTCTGTGCCTTCTGTCTTCAGGCTTCCTTAAAAATGTGATTCCTATTTCTGTCACAGCATCCCCCTTCAGCCTGTCCTGGAGGAAGGACACTTCTGCTGCTAAGTGAACCTGGAAAGAATCAGGTCTGATTAGTTAAGCAAAAAAATGCCCAGTTTTCCACCCTCCTAATGAGCTTTTTTCTCTCTCTCTTACCACAAGAGGACCCCCTTTCCCAGGTTTCATAGGAAACAGATATTTAAATTGTTTTAAAATAGCTTTCCCAACTAAGCTAATACAAAGGAAATTTACAGACACTGGAATTTATATAGCACATTACCCTTCTCCCCAGTGTTTTGCTTTCTTCTGAGACCCTAAATTGCATACTTAATGATTTTGTGATCACAGAATTTCCTAGTCTTGTACTAAGAGTTATGATATAATACTTTTGTGACTTAGTCTTGTATCAGATGCTCTGATTCCGAGACTGATGTATGTACATAACACCGCAGGATTGAGTTTTTTGTCTCTTGAAATATAAGACTACGCTGAATCCGATATTGACAAAAAACATAAAGCAGCCCAAAAGTAATCTCCCTGAAGAAGCTCTACAGGTCAGAAATTTTCAAATTGTGCCCTTTATTTATTTCTTTGCAAAACCTTAAACTTAAGAACAAAATTTGGATTGCCATCTGATACACTTCTGATGCTTTGGTTTTAACATTATGCTCATCCACACTTTGTTCTCCCTCTCAGCAGGTACCACAGTAACCTGAGACTATTATTTATCTTGAGGTATTTGGAAAGAATCTGGGATGACTCTTACTGGCTACAGCTGTACAGGGACGTGTGACAGGGTCCAGGAGCAGTGGAGGAACCCAACATTCCCCTCTATCCCTCCACTGTAAGTGTTACCTGTCTTCCTGATCCCCCCTGGCTTTTGCACCCAAGTCAGCCACTGAACAGACTGAACAGCCAGGCAGGGACAGTGTGGAGGTGAGATAATCCCATGTGCTTCTCTACCTCAGGATCCAGGATCAGCCTTGTCCTCTTTTATCTAGATACAGACATTTAAACTGAGAGGTTAAACAACACTGTATTTCCTACTTTTATCTGAACAAGTGATTTTGTTTTCCTGTGCTTCCGTGAATTAGCAAAGAATGGAGAAAACAGATATGCACCTCCTTACCATTTCCAAGGCCCCTCGAATCACCCCACAGAGGAGGTTACAATAGCAGAGTGACGCTCGTTCCGCTGGCAGCTCCTCCACAAAATCCACCAGTGGGTTTTTGTCCAGGATTAAGGAGAATTCATTCCCTGTGACACTATTGCAGCTCACACTAGGGGTCACCCCAAGATACATCTTGAAAGCAACCTGCAAAAGAATGAAATTCTGCTGCTTAAATGTGTTGCGTGCAAACCAGAGGTGAAATTTTAGAAAGAAGCATCCTGTAGACCAATTTTACCCCAGGAAATAAGGGGGGAGAGCCAGACAGGCTAGAAATCAAAGTACATTTGTCTCTTCTGTGATCAGCTTGAGCCAGCAATGCAAATCTAGAGCTGTGTGATGCCCCAGGAAAACACAACAGAGAGCTGCTCTTCTTTGAAGTTCCCACATTTACAACTCCACACAAAGTGGTTTTACTGTTATCACTCATCTGCTTTCAGTCATGCCATACTCCCTTGGGACCATTAGCATCTATATTAGGTCATTCACTACCTCACCAGCAACTTTTACAATCACAGCTCAAGATCTCGCACAACTCTGATCTCTCCATCTGCAGTCGCTTAAAAAAAAAAAAAAAAAAAAAAAAAAAAACAACAAAAACAACCAGCCCACCGAAAACAAGGCTTCCAAGACTGCAAACTTGGTCACACAGAGCACTGCCTGCTGTCTTCCCGCGCCGGGTGGATGCTGCTGCCGATGTGCCACATCTGGCGTGCCAGCGCTCTGCAGCAGTGACATCACGGCGCTATCTCGGCAGGGCGGGGAGAGCCGGGCGCGCCTCCTCGGGCAGCTCTGCCCCGCCGCACGCCGCTGCCGACCGAGAGAAGCCGTCCCCAGTCTCTCCTCCTCAGTGAGTACCAGGGATGGATGCGTTCCAAACAATCCTGAAGTTCTTTATGAACCGGAAAACCGCCATAGGTTACAGTTTTATGGCGCTGCTGACAATGGGAGGTGAACGTGTGTTTTCTCTTGTTGCTTTCAGATGCCCTTGCAGCAACGAAAACTTCAGGTACGGTTTGGTATTTCTCTTCTCGCCAGCTCTTGTTTTGCTGGTTATTGGATACTTCTTGAACAGCAAGACCTGGAAACTCTTTACAGGCTGCTGGGTGAATCCCAGGAAAATATTCCCCAGAGGGAATATCTGTCATTTCTTTTACGTCTTTGGACAAATCACTTTAAATGCTCTGGTAGCCCCAGTGATGTGGCTGTCCGTGGCTTTGCTCAACGGGACTTTTTACGAATGTGCCATGAGTGGCTTGAAAAATCCTGCCTACTTACAAGCAGTTTGCCACAGCAAATCGGAGAGCTGCTTTGAAGAGCTACACAAGGTAGCCTGTGACAAAAGCTCCCTGCCCTTTTCAGAGAGTGATGAACTGAAAAGAACACTTCAAGCACAGTCCCAGGTAAGAAAAGTGATAAACAAAAAGCATTACTGTGCTGCTGCTGTGATTTATCTGTGGAAGATCCTGATGTCAGAAGTTTTGTTAAAACTGTTGGCTTCGTGTAAACAATGTTTTGGCATACAATCAATCCATCTTTTGGTTCAGTTTGAGCTGTTCCATATTTCTTAGGGGTCCTCACTGATGGCGAGGTCAATAAGACCAGAGAACATAAAGCTTTCTTCCTGAATGGAGATTGCTCTAAGGAGGGAAAAAACCAAACCCAACTGGATTGTTTTGGAGGCTGAATTAACAGATATCACTGCATTAAAGGGGTCTGTCCTATTAAAAAATTCATGCCACACTCTCCTAATTTAAAACATTGTGATAACCGTAGGTCACTAACAGCAGAAAAATACTGGAAAACAAGATTTGTGAAATATCTTTTGGCTGCTTAAATAATGTGCTTCTGTTTGTGTTCCTCTTTTTTGTGATGACAAACGTAAGGATGTTTTTGTCCTGCTTGGAGGAAGTGAGAAACAATAAAGCAAGCAGATTATGCAAAGTTGAGATCTTACTACTTTCTACAATATATGTGCAGTACAATTTTGCTCTCTGCATTGTAATGCAAATAAATTCAGAGGCAAAAAATCAAAACAGTGGAGAGAATAAAAAGAAAGCTACAGAAAAAGGAAAACACACTGTGGAGCCAGCAAGTTTTTGTTAGGAATTGTATCCATCTGGAACAATTTCCTTTCCAAGAGCTGGTTTTATTTTTAAGTCCTCATGCAAATAGGACAAAGACTGCCCTGCAGACAAAACAGTTTGTTTGTTAGTTTTAGAAGGCAACAACAGATAGTGCTTGAGACTTTAAGGTGTATGTATAGGAAATACTGAAAGACCAGGGATTCAGTATTACCATGAGAATATATGAGTTCATTTTCCAAGCTGCAAGAAAGTGAAAAACTGCTTAAAAAAAGATTTCTCAAATATCCATAAAAATCGCTAGTCAGTACAAAGTGATTGGGAAACATAAAGGAAAGCTCTAACTATTGTTCTATTCCAATTCCTAAGAATAGTTGTTAGTCAAACTTCTCTGTTTCACAGACTTCTCTGAAGAAACTTTCTATATTACATCAGCTAAACACAGATTTTTACTGGTGGTTTTTTTTTTTTAACATCAGTGCAAGAGTTCACATGAGAGTTCACTCTCCATATCATCACCATTGGAGCATGGGAAATCAGTTCCAGTTCTAAAGCCTCTGAGCCCTAGAATATTTGTCCCACACTGGAACTTTTTCCAGTGTTTGAAAACAAGTTTGGGTTTTTGTTTAACTTGTCATAATGGATTAGACAAGTAAAACTTGTCTTGGCCATTGGCTAGGCCAGTGGTACAAGGCAGGAAAAATTGTGCTCACACTGCTGCTCTTCTTAGGGGAGAACATCCCACAATAACCAGTTTGAGCACATTTTTCCATTCTCTCCCCTTGCTGAGGAAGTAATTATGGAAGTAGCTCTTTGAAAATGTTCTTGACAGAATTTCGTCCACATCTGAAGCTGCTACAGAAAAAAGGAGTTGAGTGATGCTGGTTAATTATGTATTTGTTTTGTTGGAGGTTTTTTTCTAATAAAAAGAAGTCAGAAAACAAAACATCTAACAGTGGTCACAGTTTAAAAGGCTGGTTGATCTGGAACAAAAATTACTTGCCCTTTTTGGTTATGTAGTTCTTCATGATTCAAAATTAATAATTCTTGTTGGGTGGTTTTATGTAATGCTTTCAGGAGTTAGAAAACACTTTACTCTTTACCAAAGATACACCAAAAGGAGCAGTATTGAGAAGCCTCTATTCTGATGGATTTACTCGTTCTCTTCAGTCCTGTCTTGGTTTGAAAAGAAAGGTGTCACCTCAGGGAGGCAGGAGGCTTCCTTGAAATGGAAAATGTAAACTCCCTCCCTCTGAATTATTATGATTTTGAAATTAAGGGGCTCTCAGGAAAAGATATTGGAATAGGAATAACAGTTCTTTACTAGGAAAATTAAAAATGTAATAGTACAAGAAAAGAAAAGAAACCACTGATGGAGTCAGAATACACCTTGACACCCTGTGGGTCAGGGTGGTGGCAGCAGTCCCATTAAATGGTGGCTGCAGCCCTCCTGCAGTGACAGGCGTGGTTCTGTTGAAGCAGTGATCCTGTAGAAGGGTCTAGCTTTTCTCTGAAGGTCTGGTGGCGGCGTAGATGGGCCGTGTCTTCCCCTAGGGATCCAGTGGGGAAGACAGTTGCTCCTCTGGGAATGCAGTGGGAAAGGCTGACTGTGATGTTCCTAATTTCAGATTATATCCAGGTAGGAATGCTTGGCTCCTCCCCTGGGCAGAGCTTCTCACAATGGGGTGCTGTAATTTTTATCAGACATGCAGTGGGACCCACTGGCCCATGAACAGCAGATATCTCCCTGAGGGAGGATTGGTTGTGGAAGAGATAAAGAAAACTGCCCAATTAACAAAAGATAACTGCCCCACCTCTAACAGATGGGAAGAGAAGACACATCCCCATTTCCAACCTAAGACAAGAACCCATGTGGTTGTCCCACTAACGTCAGGGCCAGCACCAAATGCAAAGTGTTGTCAGACATTTGTGATTCAAGTAGCATTTTCACTTGGGTCTTTTTAACCTGAAACTGATTTCTTTTGCCTTCCCAGATTTTAGGCTGGTGTGTGATAGTTACCACAGCTCTCCTCTCCCTGCTAACCACTTGCTGTGCCAGCTGCCAGTCAAAAGTCAGCCACCTCCAGCTGATGTTCTGGAGAGTGTATGAGGGGACAGAGAAGGAGCAACTGGAGCAGATTTTCCAGCTGTATGCCACCAAGCTGAGCGAGCGAAACCTGAAGTGCTTTTTTGAAAACAAGGAACCAGAACCCATTTCCCTGCCAGCTTTCCAGGCATGGGAAGATGCTTCCCAGCTCCACTCTTTCAGCAGCAGCAAACAGCATTATAGCACGATTCACAAGCTAGTTGAGGAAGGCCAGAAAGGAACCAGTGAGGAAAGAGAGACAATGCTGGACCTTGCGGACAGAAGGGAAGTACCATAGACCAAGTATATTTTCAGCTTTTTTTGTATCTTGTTAATAGGCATATTTCTATCTGGTTTCATCTCTATGTTTTTTTCACAATGGCCTCTTTCTTCTTCATCATGTTTCCTCCCAGTTAGTTACTTGCTCCAAAATGATGGAATGAAATTATTTCCCTACATGAGTGAAAAGGCTGCAGTACTCCACAGCACCCAGGGTTCAAGTCACTAGGTCAGCATCAAGAGCTCACAGTACCACAAAAGGAGTAATGGCTTCTACAAGAGGGTTTTAGCAATATGCTATGTAAAATGTGCTAAAAATGCTATGTAAAATAGTGTGCTTGTCATATGTAAATATAGAGACTGTCAACAAGTAAAGTCATTTAAAGTGTGTGAATATAATCACAAGATACGTGTGCCTTTCTGACAGCCAACACACAGAAAGTAAAGGTTTTCTGTCCAGGTCATTTCCAGGCCAATTGCAGGTACAGCCTTGTTTTGAGGCACCAGCAACCCCTCAAGGCTTCTCTGTCTTTGGATATTTTGCCTCTGTAGAACATCTCCCTGTTATCTGCTCCCAGTCCAGACTTTTTCTTTGTATGGCTATAAAGTTCTAGTTTTCAGCAAGTTTCAGGCACTGGGTGCAGCCTGTATTGCTCTGTAATATCGTTGTTTCTGGGCCTGCAGCCAGTGTACAATAG